TTGACTGCTAACCAGAAGGCTGGTGGTTCAAACCCACCAGCCACTCCTCAGAAGGAAGGTTGGGCAATCTACTTCAGTAGTGATACTGCCTCGGAAACCCAAGGAGAGGTCACTATGAGTTGGGTCCAACTCGATGGCACATAATAACAACAACAATACACATATTTATTTTGAAGTGAGATTAGATAGTTAATTGCCATTCTGCGATGTGCTTTTCCACCTTCTACTACTTCTCTGACACCTTTTCAAACTACTACACGTTCATGTTACTATTCACCAGTTCACAGTACTCCATTGTGTGGCTGCACCATGCCATATAATATTTAAAATACTGCTTGTAAAAGTAAATTAAATCCTCTCTCTATCTCACTCTAAAACTTAGAAGGTATATAAAAATGATTCTTGCTGTCCACAGCCATCCCTGTGGCCTGAAAGAATGATGTGCAAGGAGAACACATGCAGGCTTAGAGTTGACACAGCAACCAGCCTCTCAGCTTGATCAGGTCCATGAAAAATTCCACTATGGACAAAACACAAGAGTGTTAGTGTGTGTATGTGTGTGTGTGCCTGAAACAAAATGGGTACACACTTTCATATTCATTTTTCTTCTATGATCATAAAAATAATAATTTTAGAGTTGAGGAAAACAACTCTAAAAATGCCAAAATAGGTTTTAAAAATAACATTAAATAGTAACCTGACCACCCAGAAACGCTGACTGACTGTTATCCTGGGAGTTTACTTCCCTCCAGATTTTTTTCTAATCATATATACAGATATACATATATCAGGCACCAATGTTTTCACTCAACTGCATACTGGATCCCCCTTTCCACTTTCATGTGTCTATGTGGCACATACCTAAAATTGATTGTGTCATTCAATTTACAGGAGTATTCCCCATGCTGTCCAAAATTTCTGCCAGTTATTTTTTGTGTGTAAATTAATAAATGCTTAAAAATTCAAACCGTAACAGAATGTCCAGCAAACATAGAAACAGGGAATGTGAAGTCAATAAATTAGCATGAGCAGCCATACCCCACAGAAGTCTTAATTTAGAGGCTGTAATCTGATCACCCCTTCTTTCACTGTGGACTTTTGAAGCATTAGGAGATATAAAAATTCCAGAGAATTAATTCCTTCAAAATGCCAGTAATTCTCTCAAAACCAGACACCCTTCCCACCACTCCAAGACCACAGTTTCTGTTTTTTTCATCTTAATCTAGGGCTCTGAGAACACCCCAGAAAATAACTAGCTTTAAGACAGCCATTACCTTGAAGCTTCTTGTCAGCTGCAGTCCCTGTGAAATGCAGCGCCTCCCGCAAGACTGGTCAGGCTCTGCTCACTCCCAAGCTTCTCAGGGGATGCTCCGCCCCCGCCCTGTGATGAACAAGGCAGAAGGCCCTTCCCTGAATTAGGGATGGAAGAATTGCCAAGTTAAAGTGTTGAAGTGTTAAAAGGGTAGAAATGTCCCTTTTTAAAGAACTTTAAAGTGAAATGGCAACAAGTTATCTGTTTAACTTCCATATAAATCCTTAGGGTGGGCTGATTTCTGTGGGGGGGGAGGGAGGAGAGCAAATCACTTTATCATATTATAATTAAGACCCAGTTAAAAGAATCCTTTTTTGGTTTTTGCTTGCTTGCTTTGGCACCTTATCTCTACAGATGAATGTCAGACCCAGCTGGTCAAGCTTATTGAAAATGCCAGCTGAGGATTTTTACTCACTTTGTACTGAAACTATATATTACTTGAGGGAGAATGATTTCTTTATAATATTTATTTTTCTGTTTCTAGGACAAGCCTTGTCTCTCCTTTTATATTGAGTTCTTCTCTCAAATCCTTCAGGGAAGTTTCAGAGATTTCTTCCTGAAGGTGGGTATTTCTGAGCAGAGGCTGAAAGTAATTCATTGCAGGAAAATACTCATTTCACATGCCCTTGTCAGTAACTAATAAGCTCTGGTGGCACAGCGTGTAAGGCACTTGCCTGCTAACCAGAAGGTTGGTGGTTCAAACCCACTAGCCACTCTGAGGAAGGAAGATGGAGCAATCTACTTCCTTAAAGCTTTACCACCTTGGGAACCCAATGGGAGTCAACTATGAGTTGAAATCAACTTGATGGCAGTGTGTTTGTTTTTTCTCAATAACTCGCAATTACTTCTTTTTATATCTTGTTGGTTTTAACTGGGAAGTGCAATGAGGGAAATTTTTATTTTTGCAATTCTTTATGTGTATACCTGAAATATATTTTGTGCATTTTGTTCAACAAAATTCTCCTGTGTTAAATTTCTGATTTAACTTCGAAAGCCAGTTTTAAGTATCTTAATGATAATTTGGAGTATGAAGGTATTTGGGAATTAAGTGTTTTGTTTGGCCTCTGTATCATATATTACATATTATTGTTGTATGCCGTCAAGTTGATTCCTACTCATAGCAACCTTATAAGACAGAGTAGAGCTGTTCCATAGGGTTTCTTAGGCTGTAATCTTCACAGAAGCAGACTGCCACATCTTTCTTCCATAGAGTGGCTCGTGGATTCAAACTGATGAACTT